GAAAGAGCCAGGCTCAGAGACAGTACCCAGCGACCACCAGGCTATGAACCAACACCAATGCAAAAGGCACCAATTCTCTCTCCTTCCCCTTGACCTCCTGAGGGCCCCCAGGAAGGTGGTCCTCACCAAGAGGAAAGAGAAACACCCCTGGAAACTGCACAGCTGTCCTGCCTCCATCCTAGGCCAGCCCAGTCACCCTGGCGAGTCATTCGAGCTGTGAAGCCCATGCATTTCCAAAACAAATGTGTGCTATTGTGGTCTGCTTTTTAATATACGCCCTGTGCTCCCACACTTGGGGCTGGCTCTTGATACCAGGAGTAATTCACCTTTTAGCGTTGCTTTAATGCCAAGGAACACAGAATTGCTCCGTAATTAGGTTTAATGGCCAAGTAATTCTAGGTCACGTCTCTCCTTTAATGCTTAACATGAAAGTGTTTTGGTTTTTTTTATTGCATTTCTACAGAAGTTTCTTTTGTGTTTTCTGATTCTACTCCAAAATGTTGGCAAGAAGGCCAAATATTTTCAAGCTATGAACCTCCAGGCCAATTGGTGTCCTGGCATCCTTGTTCCCTCCCTGCGAATTTTGGGAGCCTCGAGGAGCAATGTAATGAGGCAGAGGGAGATGGGCAGCACCATAGTCAGAGTCTGAAGGTGAGGTTGGGAGCGACTTCAGGGCTCACCACCTGTCCTGGGGACGCCTCCTTCCCGACCATCACCCTGACTCCTGCGTGCCTCTCAGTCAGCTACCTCCCTAGCTGCGGTCTAGACTGACTATTTCACTGGCAGCAACAGGGGTGGGTGGGGGTGGGGAGTCCGGGGCACCCAGATGAAGAACCGTCGCGAGAGCAACACTACCCTTTTTCTATTTCCATTTCCAGGAACTTCCATGAGTCTGTGACATTTTGTGGGAGCACTCTGAGGCTCTTCCTTTGAGATAAACATTGCAATTTCTCCTTAGATCTCAGCTAGAAAAATAGGGAACTGAAAGTACTAGCAGGACACCATGCTTGGCTTGTTCTCAGAAGAGCTTGTGTCTGACACGACACAAAGGAGCAGGGCCTCTCTAACGGCCCACCATTCCCCCACCCCCTGCCCACACACACACTGATTCCTGGTCTCTGAGTGTGAACTAGGAATTCTCTGCGGGTCAGAGCTGGAGGAGGTTGGATTGGTACCCATACTATCCTGAACTCCCATTAGAATGGCCTACAACACTTATTTTACTGCTTTGTCCCTTACTGCTAGTTTTCAAAATGGTTTTGGCTGGTATCTACTTGCTGTCATCACAAACACCTCTGTGTTTCTTTAGGAATGGAACCCTTTCTCTTCTCCAATTATGCCCCTTCCAAGCCTGCAGTGCCCGCAGTGATCTTCTCTTAGACCAGGGGTGGGCAAACTTTTTGACTCAAGGGCCACAATGGGTTCTTAAACTGGACCGGAGGGCCAGAACAAAAGCATGGATGGAGTGTTTGTGTGAACTAATATAAATTCAAAGTAAACATCATTACATAAAAGGGTACGGTCTTTTTTT